GCGCTACCACACCCGGCTGATTTTTTGATTTACTGTAGAGATGAGGTCTCGCTGCCCAAGTGGATCTTGAGCCCGCGGGCACAGGCAATCCACTCACCTTAGCCTCCCAAAGGCGCGGGATGGCAGGCTGAGCCACCGAGCCCGGCTTGCCTGTTGTCTTTAACTTTTATTGCTTGTGTACCTCCTTTGAAGAAATTTTTAAAAGCTATGTACTCCTAATTTTTATGTACACCATATTTTTAAGTTAATATCAAAAAACATTTTATCCCAGCCTGGGCAGCATAGCAAGACCTTGTCACTACAAAAAAAAATTAGCTAAGTGTGGGGGTACGCACCCATAGTCCCAGCTACTCAGGAGACTGAAGTAGGAGGATCACCTGAGCCCATGAGGTTGAGGCTGCAGGGAGCCGTGATTGTGCCACTGCACTCCAGCCTGGGTGACACAGCGAGGCCCCGGCTCAAAACGAAAATTTTATCGTAAGTTTAAATATTGCTAAAGATTGCATTTCTAATGTATTATAAATGTTGACACTTTAAAATAAGGCAGTTAAAAATAAAACTTTCATGTCACTCTTAAGTGATCCAACAGAGTAGAAAAATAGCAATATTGTTTCTTCTTCTCTTTGAAATTGCATTTTCATTCCTACTTGTTCAGGGCAAAATTCAGTGGGGTCATCTGTTTTTATAATTAAAAGCCTTCCTGTTAATCTTACTATTTTATATCTCTGCCACAAAAATTTATATGTAGGTTGAAAGTTTAAAAGTTGTTTTTTTGCCTAGGCACATGCCTGTGATCCCAGCACTTTGGGAGGCAGAGGCAAGAGGATTGCCTGAACCCAGGGGCTCGAGACCAGCCTGGGCAACATGGCAAGACCTCATCTCTACAATAAGTAAGACAATTAGTCAAGCTTGGTGGTACGCACCTATAGTTCCAGCTACTTGGAAGGCTGAGGCAGAAGGATCACCTGAGCCTAGCAGGTCGAGGCTGGGGTGGCCATGAGTGTTCTACTTCACTCCAGCTTGAGCGACATTGTGAAACTCCAACTGAAAAAAAATAAAAGTGATTTTTCATAACTATTTGGGGAAACTATGTGAAGGGTACATGCAGCCTGTTAGTACTTCTTGTAAATCTATAGTTACCTCAAAATGAAAGCTTTTTTAAAAATTTGTTTTCAGGCTGGGCTCAGGCCGGTGGCTCAGCCTGTAATCCCGTGCTTTGGGAGGCCGAGGTGAGTGGATTGCCTGAGCCCGTGGGTTCGAGACCCACCTGGGCAACTTGGTGAGACCTCATCTCTACAATAAATCAAAAAATTGACCGGGCGTGGTTACGTGCATCTGTAATTCCAGCTACTCGGAAGACTGAGGCGGAAGGATCGCCGGAGCCCAGCAGGGGAGACTGCAGTGGCTGGGAGGGGCCTCTGCACTCCAGTCTGGGCAACAGAGTGAGACGCCAACCCAAAAAAAAAAAAAATTATTTTTCATGGCGCGCAATGAGTCATGCCTGTGAGACTAGCCTGGGCAACCTGGTGAGGCCTCATCTCTACAATAAATCAAGAAAAATTATCTGGATATGATGGCACACACCGTATAGTTCCAGCTACTTGGAAGACTGAGGCAGAGGATCGTCTGAGCCCAGCAGGTCGAGGCTGCGGTGGCCGCGAGTGTGCCACTGCACTCTAGCCTGGGCGACAGAGTAAGACCCCTACTAAAAATAAATAAATAATTATTTTTCCTGCGATCATAAAGATCTGAGTGTTGAAAAATGATTTCTTGTCAATTGAATAAACTGTACAATTTTTTGTACAGTTGAGAAAAAGAGCGCAAATACATTGCAGATGTTTATTATGTTTAAACCTGAGAAGTAAATCAGATGTTACTGGAGACACATCTATCTCTTAGTGATGCCCGATGGAAGGAGCCTTCACGGGCACCACCATTTGGATCCCCCTATATGCGACATCTGGAGTCGTCAGTGTCCTGGCCTGTATCCCGTGCGAGGATGCATCAGTGTGGCTGTGAGGGACAAAGTAGAGGTGGCAGAACAGCCCGGAGAGGACATAGGCAGCTGGGGCCAGAAGTGGGTTCCCACGACACTTGTTACGTTTCCCAGGACGGCCTTTGGGAGGCCCCGGTCTCACTTCCCCCACTTCGCAGACCACTGAGCTCCAGCTGATGGCACAGACGTTGGTTTCGTTTTAGGAAGATGTCTTGTCATTAGGAATCTGTGGAAGGTTTTCAGGCAAGATCTTTAAATGGCTTATTGACTAAAAGCCAAGAGATATAGTTGCATAATGATGAATTCCCCAGGATAGGTACATGGACACTGTTGCCTGGCCAAGAGGCACCTCAGAGTCAGAGATGATCAGATGGAAAAACAATGTGTGCTTTAGAATCATTGAAGTCAATTATTCATTCCTGGCCGGGCTCAGTGGCTCAGCCTGTAATCCCAGCACTTTGGGAGGCCGAAGTGAGTAGAATGCCTGAGCCCGTGGGTTTGAGACCCGCCTGGGCAACTTGGTGAGACCTCATCTCTACAATCAGTCAAAAAAATCAGCCAGGCGTGGTAGCGCGCGCCTGTAGTTCTAGCTACTCGGAAGGCTGAGGCAGAAGGATCGCCGGAGCCCCGCAGGTCGAGGCTGCGGTGGCCGGGAGTGGCCACTGCACTCCAGTCTGGGCGAGACTCCAACAGGGTGAGACTCCAACTCAAAAAAAAAAAATCATTCCTGTTTTATAGATGAGGAGACAGGCTCAGAGAGGTCAAGTGACTTGACCAAGGCCGCACAGCAAGTAAATACAGCCTCTCTGCCCCCCACCCACCTTTATGAAGAATAATACAGGAGCCCCCATAGGGGGAGCTGTCCATCGTTGCCCTTCACCTGTTCTCTCTTCATTCTACGTTTCTCTCTTTACCTGCCCACTCATTCTTTTGAAGGAGACCCGAGTTCCAGTGCTTGTAAAGCAGCCTGCTGCTGCCAAAGAAGCAGGAGAGAGGAGAGATACGTGCATCTGGGGTTTTCCCCTTAGATGTGCTTTTCATATCGAAGCTCCTCTGGAGAGGAGGCAGAAAGCGGGATGGTGTCTTTGGACTCTCAGCAGATTGAGACGTTGTAGACCTTTGGGGTTGGGAGGCCTTTGGGCATCTGTGAAAGCCATGGGCCTTTTCCAGCACAGCCACATGCACTCCAGAGTTTGCTTTCTGAAGCACGCCTTCCTGTTTGAGAACGTTAGTCCTGCCTAGAGGCAGGCAGCTCTGGATCGGCAACATCCGAGGGAACTTGCCGTGGTGACGGCAGTGTGGTATGTCTGCACTGCCCAGTACAGTAGCCATTAGTTGTGTTGTGGCCATTGTGTACTTGGAAGGTGGCCGATGTCACTGAGGAATGGAGTTTTTCATTTTATTTGATTTTAATTCATTGAAAAATAACTACATGAAGCTAATGGTGACCGGTACAGGTCTGCCTGACAGCTTAGTACCATGTGCCATGAGTAACAGTGATAAAAATGGTTGAAACTGTCTCTTGTAGGCAGTAACCAGTGCTTTTTTAAAGTAATGTGACTTTATCGTTCTGTATTTGAACTTGATTTTTTCCTTCCAGTGTGGTCTGATGAGTAGTGGATTCTTGAGACTCTGCTTATGCAAATATACCTATTATTTGTTCAGGAATGAAAGCTGGAACTCCATGCTACTTCAAAGGCAGTGTTTCTTTAGGGTTAATTGTTTTCCTTTCTTGTTGTTTGAAGGAAAATCAGCATTGGAATCACCTGATTCAGGACGCTCAGAAGCGTGGTGCCATTATTAAGACCTGCGACAAGAACTACAGACATGATGCAGTGAAAATTCTGAAACTCAAGTCTGTGCAGAGGAGTCCACCTCAGCCTGCTGGCGCAGCCCCAGAGGGTCCCGGAGTCCAGGGCAGCCTGCCCGGTAGCAGGCTCGATGGCTGGTCTGCTGGCACGTCTTCTACTGCTTCTCCACACCACACCCCCCCTGACTCCAAGGAAGCGACTGTTACTTCCAAGGATGCTGAAAGGCCTTCTGTTCAGGACCAACCTCGGGACCCACGACTGCTTAGGAGGATGGGTGCTGAAGCCAAAGGAGTATTCCAGAGGGAGCCACTGCCCTTGAGCGCCCCGCATCCCGAAGCAACATCTGTGGCAGAGCCAGATTGTCCTGTCACTCCCCAGGATCTGGGCCATGTCATGCCACAGCCCCCGGCCAACGTGGCCCCTTGGAGCAACCACAGACCTCACGTCCAGGGTGAACCTCCAGCAGCTGGTTCTCATGCCTCCGCAGGTCAGGACAAATGCGACCTGGAAGGGGAGCTTGGTCACAGGAGAGTCACCAGGGCTCTCAGTGAAGGGGGGCAGGAAAAGTATGGCTATGCGACCCGTCACACCCGGAGGAACTCTGGCTGGGACAGAAGGAGTCTGGAGGAGGAGGACAGTTACAAGAAAAGAAGGCTTTCATAGAAAGGCCGATGGTGTGTACCGTCAGCCACAGCACTGTTGTAAACCCAAGATGGCCAGCCAATAAGATCATCCAGATAAAATGATCTTTCCCTTTCAGGAGTTTGCGTGCTGGTGGAAAACATGGGGAATGTATCCTAACACCTGAGCTTCTGGTCATCTTCGGTACTTTTTGTCAGTTGCAAAGACTTTCAGAGGACATTTGTGTATCAGTAATAATGTCCTTGAAGTTGAAGACTTAAAATGTTATCTTGTTCTTCTGTAGAAAAGGAGGTCAGGCTGGAGTGAATGTTGTAAAAGTTGAAATGTATATTTGTATAGCAAATAACAAAATCCTTTTAAAATTTATTCTAGTAGACCGCTTTTCTTTCCCCTGTTTAAAATGTTAATCATTTTCCAACAGAACAAACTTTATATTAAAAGAAGAAGAAAAGGAGGAGGGCAGATCCTTCCCACCATTACCAGGGCGAGACAGGCTTCTTTAACAGCCTAGGGGGTTTGGAGTGAGCAGAGTTAGTGCTAAGGCTGGATGTCTCCAGTTCCATTTGAAAAAAACAACAACTGGCGTCTCCCGGAGTAACCCTTGGGAAGCACAGCTATGTTAGGTAAGATTCTGCTGATGTGGTACATTTTTAGACAAGGCACCTTGGCACAAGATGTTTCTGTGATGAGTTCATTACCTATTTTAGTATGTTCGTAGTTCCCTAGCTAAAATGCTTAATCTTCTTGAAATAGAAGAATATGAAATGAAAGGATAATTCTTGAACTATCGTTCTGATGCCCCCCGCATGTTGTGAGCTTCGCGTGGCTGGTGAATTACAGGCATGTAGTTGCCAGACACCAGGTTAGTGCTAGGTTGGCTTTGGAAGAGTCACCTCGGCTGGCAGGTTGCCAGACAAACCTAACCTAGTTTTCCAGAGAACCTAGGAAGCTGTATATTAAACACTTCCTGAGGGATTCTGATCACCAGTCAGCTTGGGAACCACTGGGACAGGCCAAATAGAAGGGGAAAGAAAGTAGCTGGGCGCGGTGACTCATGCCTATAGTCCCAGCACTTTGGGAGGCTTAGGCAGGAGGATTGCTTGAGCCCAGGAGTTCAAGACCAGCCTGGGCAGCATATCAAGACCGTGGCTCTAAAAAAAAAAAAAGAGTCACAGAGAAGCTCAGAACTAAGAGAATTGGCAGGTTTCCTGTGATCCTCGGAATCCTCTAACTGATGAAAACCTGCTGTCCTAGAATATCTGATGGGCATCTTCAGCTCCTATCAGAGGTTCTCATGCTTGTTTGAAAGAAACGTGGCCGTTGAGGAGGCTTGGGCCAAGGGTGAGGCTGCCTGATGGGGTCCAGTTTTCCAGATACCCACACAGACTGAGTTGGAGTATCCTTGACATGTGAATGTCCAGCCAACAGTCCTAGTAACTGGTGGTTTGTAATGAATGCTGTGCTGCCCATTAGCTAATTTGAGGAAGGAAAACAAATTCCTGTAAGATGAATGTGCACTATTTGAAATTTTTTTATATCTGCTTTTTTAAGCAAAAAGGGGTTCATGTTAGAAATTCTATCGAAGCAGGTTATAAAGAGTCTTAAAAAAACAACTTTGAGTTGCCGAAAGTTTAAACATTTTATTTCATTACCTATGTCTCTCTCGTTGGTGTCCGGCCATCTTCTTGATGTCAACTTAACACCCCTGAAACCTTTTCTTAGAGGCGCTTTCTTAGAGGACTTGGTCCCAGTCAGCCTCTGCTTTGTGCTTGTGGGTGGAGAGAGTGTGTCCTTGGCCATGCAGGGTCAGAAAGTACTGGAGAGGGTGGAAGCTGAGCCCCACTCTTTTGGATATAGAACTCTGTAAGCTCCCATGAGTCTTTGGCAAGAAATCCCACTGCTTTAGTTTCTCTGTAAAGTGCTTAATTTTGCACACACTTGTGGTGTCTGTTGAAGGAATGTGAAAACTGAGCTTCTAAAGAAGGCGTGGCAACACAGGGAGCGCCCTGCTCGTGTTAACATGTAAATTAAGAACCCAGAATGCACACCTGCTGCCACACACAGAACAGTGTTGTTCCCAGTGAAGGCTAATGCCTGTTCTCGTGTCGTGTCCACCTGTTGGTTCACCACTCACCAGGTTGATGACGTAAGAGTTAGTAGAATCACATCCTCCTTGCCGGCCAGCCAGCCTGTGTCCTGTGCCACCACATCACCCAACAGACATTACCTTTGAGACTCTATTTGTTGTTCCAGTTGGTAAGAATATTTGCAAAAAAGCATTTCCTGTGTTTACCATGCCTGCCTTGGTGTGGCTATCACAGTGGTGTTGTGGAAGGGTGGTCAGTCTATTTGCAAGGGGAAAAGTATGCTTCGCCCTTGCCATGGCATTAAAAGAAAATACTCTTTCATTATTTGTTGTTTCAACGCGAGTATGTGCTCCTCAAAAACTTGTTTGTTTCTTTATATGTAATTTGCCTTGGAGTTAACTGTGCAGTTGGTTTAGATGTATGTTTTCATGCATTATCCGGAGCAGATTTGATAAGTCCATGGGCATAACCATGAATTTTATAACCAAAAATATTCTCAGCTACTTTCTAAAATTGTACAGAATGATAGTTTTTTGCTCTAGCTTTGACTCTGTGCTGTGAGTTCATGGCTTGCATTTGGAAAACAATAACCCTGTTTTTGTTAAAACCTAAATTTTAAGAGTAAATGGCAGCATTAAAAATGGAAACAAGAAAACGGACATGAATTAGCAGCTCTGTATTATTGAGTTAAGGTACAGAGTCCTAAGAGATTTAGTCTGCCATTTGATTTCCTTTCTGCTGAAATTGTTTGATGGGCGTTTGTATAATTCTGATGTAAAGTTTATGATCCAGCCCTCACCTGCCTGGCTGTCCTTCCTGGCTCCTTCTGGAATCTTCCCCATAAGGTAATGAGGTGCATCGTGGCCAACCGTGGTATTGAGTTATAGATGGGAGTCTGGTCCAACAGAAATACATGCTCCCATGTACTTCACCATGAAGGCTGGAATTGGCGGGAGGAGGGGAGGGGCGGAACAGATGAACACTGACCCTGGAAAGATGCTCCCACAGGCACCAGTGGAGGGGTGGGGTACAGATGTCCCAGTCAGGGGTAATTGCCAATGGTTAGAGAAGTGGAACGCATTTTATAAAAGCAATAACTTGAGAAAATGTAGTCAGACGTTCCTACACTTGAGCCTGTTAAAAGGCACTTGACCTCAGCCTCGGCATCTCATTCTGTTCCCAGAGCGTGTGCAAACTGCCTGCCCAGCCTGCACAGCCTTGCAGTGTGCATACACAAATTACCGGGGGCTGGGGGGGTCGTGCTTGGGAGTTACGGGGCATAATCAATTCGCCAAATGACCTGACGAGACTTGAGTGCCGGGTGATGGTCATTTGTGGAATTTGTTGCTGTAGCAGCTGTAGCAATGATTTTTAAAAATCACAGACACCTCTCTCCTGACCAGACGAGTCCACCCCCACCTCCCGGACTTCACCATTCATTGTTTGAGGAATAAATAATTCAGGGAGGAAACTAAAATTTAGCTTCGGCTTAGAAAGAATTTGTCGTGTGAACAGCACCACAAAGGCAGTTTCCGTACACAAGGGATCCCTCCAGAACTCTTAAAACACCTGAGTTATTACTGCCCCGTGCTACCGCACAGAAGGCATTCGCCAAGTCAAGTGGCATGGACGTGTGGAGATGGGCATTTGAAGCTATGGGAGGGGACACTATTGCTGTCCTGGCAGTCCAGGCTCAGTTGTGTTGGTCGACACCGTTGCTTTTGTTTCTAGAAGGCCAGACAGGGAGTTGTCAACCTTAGGGCTGCACTCAAGCCATCTGGGGAGCTTTAAAAAAAATTCTGATGCCTGGGTTTCACCCCAGAACTTAGTAGTTTCTGAGTGTAGCCCTTACCTAAAAAAATAAAAATAAAGAAACCTCCCAGGTGATTCTATTAAGCAGCCAGCATGGAGCCTGGCTCCTGCAGGGTCGAGAGAAGGCCTGGGGGCCCACAGGGGTCACGAGCGCCTTCAGCACATCAACTCCACAGCCCTGAACAGGGAGGTTCCCAGGGGTGGCACAGCAGGGTTGAAAGAAAGAAAACAACGACTCAGGGGACTCCTGACACCATCGGGAGTGCGGAAGCACAAGGCTCCCCAAGTCCAGGAAGAGCTGCCACAAATAAGTGTGGCCAACATGTTCTCAGAAAGGCCATCAGTCTGGGGACATACTGTGGCATCAGTTAAGGGACACATGGACACATACTGCGTGCTTGTGGTCAGCCAGGCAGCTGTCCTCCCTGTAGATTGTCTCTGGGTTCTCCTGCCAAGCCCGTGATGTACATACTATCATTCCCATTGCACAGATTGTAAAATACAGGGCCAGCCAGATGTGGTGGTGTGTGTCTGTAGTTCCAGCTACTTTGAAGGCTGAGGTGGAAGGATCGCCTGAGTCCAGCAAGTCGAGGCTGTGGTGGCCGTGAGTGTGCCACTGCACCCCAGCCTGGGTGACAAGAATGAGACTCTGTCTCAAAAAATATATGTAGGGTCTAATCAGTGCAGTGGGTTGCCCAGGGGGGTACAGCTAAGAACTAGCCAAGTAGCAATTCCCACTCGCATCTTGGGACCCCAAAGCCCTGGCTTATAACCTCTCCAAGAGGGACCTAAGCAAGGCTGAATGCCAAGAGGCCACACTGATAGAAACAGGCCTGGGGAGGGAGGCTGGAGATGGCCTGAGCTCTGCTGCTGGCTTTGGGAATTCACAGCCTCTTCGGCCTTCACTGACTGTCTGAAAACAATAGTCGGTATCTGAGTTCTCTGATTCTTTCCATCAAGGTCTAAGATTCAGGCCCCAACCTCTGAGGTTCTGGAGGGGAAGAGGCAAGAAGGATGTGGTGGACTCAGGAACTTGTCAGCCTGGGTCGACCGAATTCCTGGAATTCCTGGTATGTTTCACCTCAGGGCTGGTCACAGGTATCGAGGAGATGTGAAAACCAGAAATGAAGCAGCAGCCCTGTTCTTAGGCTCAGGAGCTTGCACCAGTGCTGTGGTAACTGATGCTTGTTGTCACCTGCTGGCCTGCCGTCTTCCCCTGCAGCCTCTCGTGCCTGCCAGGTGAGTGTCTGACCTCTCTCTCTCTCTCCCCACCTTACACCCGTCTTCCTTTCCCAACTGACTCCAGGCGGACTCCCAGCTCCAGCATCAGACACAGCCCGTTGCCGCCTCCTTATAGTCGTTGTATGCATTACATCTACATACATTTATGTCTTTCCTCATAAAATAATTATAATTTTTGCACTCAGCAGTCATAAAAATTTTAAAGGATTGAAAAGAAGAAAACTC